TGAGTGCAAGATGAGATCAATACTTTCTCTATTTTCCAATTTTTTCCCAAAAATTTTGATTTCATATGGTTCTATAAACTTTAGACATAAAGTGCACACAAATGAAAGCTGTCTTCCCCTGTGCTGCGAGCCAAGTATGGCAGAAACATCTGTGCAAAAAAAAATGTGAAATTCAAAAGTGATTTCTGAGTCTATAGTTCCATGGGCAGAAAACAAGTTGATTGTTTGAGACATGATCCAGAAAAATCCAAAGCAAAAAAAAAAAAAAATGTGTGTCTACATGTTTCATAAGCTCTAGTATTATGCTGAAGTTACTGCTGCTCATGGAAAATGCATACACTAATGCCATTGCAACAAAACTATTCAAGAGCCCAGAAACACTCATGGGCCTTACAATGGAATGTTTTGAAGGCAAGATTGAGATGCCAATCACACTATGTACCCCCTTCCCAAGAACAAGGTCATTATGATCTCACTTCCTCTTCTCTGGAGGACAGGACTGACTCTCAGGAGAATTTGGCCACTCCCAAAACAAAACATCCAGTGAGCAAGCAGACTCTTCTAGAACCCAATTTTGTAAAATTCTTCATGCAGCCTAATGTAGAATAATCTATAGATAAATACAATTGAAAGTGTATTAATTAAATCTTACCAAATGACCAAACATTTTTTTTTCAGTAAGCATATTCTTTAAAGTCTGAATTTCAATACTGGTAACTTTCACTGCTTAACTGAAAATGACAAAGATGTGTAAACAGATTTCATGTAACCTATTTAAAAATGTTTTTTCTCACTGTAAAATATGTGACTCAAAATTAGTAAGTAAAAGCAAACATCTGCGTTCCCAGTGTTTTTTTTTATGGGGAAAAAATGAGTGTGTGGGAAGAAGTAGCATAGCTGATGTGCACGTGTGTGTGTGTGTGTCTGTATGAGACGGGATTTTTTCTGGATCATCCAGGTTGTACGGGTGAGCTAAGTCTGTCACGCAGATTAGCTGAGATCCATTCCAAATGTTCCGTCTAAAATTCACCTCACCACCGCAGCTAAAATTTATTTTGTGTATGTTGGAACACCAAGATCTGTCTTCTGCTCATTTTGCTGGCATGTCTGAGAATCATGTGCTTCTCACACTCATACACACACCTCAGGCTCAGCATATCAAAAGATCCTCTACATTTAGGTGCAGATGTGAACACACCTGAGAGAAAAGGAGAAATGAAAAGAGAACCCATTAGAGAGAAAAGGTTGTTAGGTGCTTTCATCAAAGGAACTTTTTCCACAGAAGACATTTGGACATCCTCCTCATTACTTTCCCAAGTTTTGTTTTCCACTGATTCAGTCTGTTCCCTTCGCATTAGTGGTTAGACATTTCCATGTTTATTATGTAGGTATTTAGTCAGTCAGAATTCCTGCCATTTTGTGGATAGATTTGGTGTAGTTCAATATTTTTGTGATGCATTCTGTGTATATTTCTACATTAAAAACTTTTTTTAAGTAAAAAAAAGAAAAAAGATGTACACTCACATTAGAGTGTACATCATTAGAGTGTACATAGAACTCCATTCATATTATAGCCCTAAACCATTTTACTTAAATGAACACTCTAGTTATAAGAACTTAGCACAAAGACTGGGTGTAAATGGCTACAGCTAGCATACTAATCCTAATAAGTGACAAAATAACGCAAACATTTTCCTATTTACATGTTGTGATTTGTATAGTCACAGAGTGTACAAATAACAAGATCATTTGAGACACACAGCCATCTTTTAACCGTCTAAATATTGGGAACTATATTCTCAGAGGGCAGTGCTTCACCTTCTGAGAAAATAGTTCCCGATATTTATATGGTTAAAAGATGGCTGTGGCTCATATTACCTTGTTATTTGTACACTCTGTGACTATACAAAGCACAACATGTAAATAGAAAAATGTTTGCGTTATTTTGTCACTTATTAGGATTAGTATGCTAGCTGTAGCCATTTACATCCAGTCTTTGTGCTAAGCTTGGCTAGTGGTAGGTGTGTCAGATAGAGTTACAGCACTTACAGCAGTCCTTTATCTGATATATACACACTATGTAAGATTGCCAGATTGGGTCTACTGCGTTTTCGTTTAAAAAACGGAGACCTTTTGCTACGTTTGCACCTCCCATCCAGACTAAAACGGGAAAAACGAAGACCTAAAACGAAGAAGTTTAGAAACGCTGCAGCTGCGTTTTGCGTTTTGAATCTCCGGAGGGCGTTTTAGTGTGGACGAGACAAAACCACACAAAACGGAGTTCAGAAACGCGCATGCCCAGTGTTGGTGAATGGTCACGTGATCCGCATTTTCAGTCGTTTTAATGTGCACGGAGATCATTTCTAATACGCAGATAAAACGCTGGTGTGGACGGAGATTGTATTCGTTTTAATTCTCCGTTTTATATGAAAACGCAGTAGTGTGGTCGGGGCCTGAGACCTAAGAAAACTACAAATTTGACTCGCTTTATGGCAAGCGTTACAATTGCCGATAGGTGGAGCGTACTCAATAGACTACAACTACCACATTATCTCAGTAAAAATAATCATAAATAAATGAATTCTTACAGACTGCACATAGTACTGGCATTGGTTATCATGTTTGCTTATGTTTTAAACTTTGCTTTTGCTAGCTTGTCAGAATTAATCTAAGATGGCTGCCATATCTGCCAGCATTACATAAGCATAAAAAATACCGAGTGCACCTTTGGGGAAGAAGAACAAACCTGTCACATGCACCTGTTATTTACGCTGACCCCCCAAAAAAGAACCCTGTCCAATGGTAGGCAAATTATTGCCTATACTCTTCAGACAATACATTCTGAGATGTTCAGTAAACTTGAACAGGGCTAAAGATAGGTATAAAATGGCTACTTACACAGTCTTCACCAAAGGTTAATGTTAGTGGACGATATGTAAAGTAGTAGGAATTAACAGGTCGGATTACTTAAAGGAAATGTCTTTTGAGAAAGATATTTTAGAGCAGCTAAAAGAGGCACAGAGCCTCAGTTCGAGCAAGATCATCCATTCACACACATACACATGATAGGTCCATCGGTCATGAAAGCTGCACAAGCTACAGATTTAGCCTCTCAACCCAAAATAATTTAGAATGTCTTCAGAGAAAAGGAAAAGAAATAAAAGACAGCATAAAAGACAGCATGTCAAAGAAATAAAACCACTCTCATTGCCCTTTTCACTATTTGACTATAGCCCGTGTCATAGTGTCACCTCTGTGGATGTGAAGGACAAACGTCAAAATATATGTCCAATAGAGAGAGAGAGAAAAAAAATATGGTTTGTCAGGTGTACTTCTGATACTGAAGAGGGCAAAGTTGGAGGCTGCAAAAAACTATTTGAGGAAGCTCTCCACTACCACTTTCAATGTGCCATTTAGAGATTCTCAGAAGCCAAAAGTTTCTATGAAATCGACCAGAGTGAAAAAGAATCCCGTAAGCTTTCGTTTTTATGTTAGACGGTTGATGAACAGCCAGGTCATTGCACTTACTGGCCCCAGTGAAACAATTAATTGACTCACCTTTTCTCTGCCTTTCTAATGACCATGACAAATTTAATAGAAAAAATAGGCTCCTGTAACAGAACAGACAACCATCAAACATTACAAATATGCCTGAAACAAGTAAGGGAAGAGGGAAAGAGACAGTAAACAAACTAACTTAAGGCAACCTCTGCATCTGATTTTGGCCCCAAAGCATTTTTTCACGCCCACTGGTGTATTTTTCCAATTGTTTTCAATTGGGAGCTCTGCTTTTTTTAATCGCTGTAACAAGGCGCTGAGTGTTTTTTTCACGCTGAAGCGCTGAGCGCCCAACGTTTTTTACTGGTCAAGAGTTGAAGAATGTTCAACTTTTGGTAAAAGTAGTAGGAAGTAGGCCTTAGTTCAAGGGCATAGCCTATATAGATTTTATAAACGTGTCTTAGAAAAAAAAAACATTTCTGGTGTGCATCTTGAGACAAAACAATGGGAGTGACATTTTAAGATTTGTCAGTATGAGTAGCTTTCAGTTAAAACCGCTTAAACATGCATTTTAAACATGCTCTGGGCCGAAAATTCAGGATGCACTTGGCCTAAACTAGAAATGAAATAATCAATTAATTAATCAAATTTATCAATGCTCAAATAGCAAAAACTCGGTTGTTTGAACATTTAACTTGCACATAAGGCATTTTTTTAAACGGATTTTTTTTCTGCTCCAGTTTTTTTGAGAAATATAAACATTTAAACAGCAATAAACTGTAAAGTTTATTGTATAACTATAACTTATATAACTCACAGCATTATTTTTTCTCATCACAAAAAATCTAAGTGATATATTCAGTTTACCACACAGTGAGAGGAGAGCTAATGAGTGAGACTGATAAATATGCCATTCGTCCTTTGTTTACATGTAGCCTTTTTCTGTGCATGTCTTCACTTTCACTCTCTCAGGAGCTTTAACCTCCTTTTATCCACTTTCTAGTTTAACTGGAGTAGTTAAATATGTAAACAACGTTGTCTGTCGACTTGACAACCTATTGCACGAGTATTACTAAATTAGTATGGTTTGGGTACTACTACTCTTTTGGAAGAAGATAACAGCATCATTCCTGTTCAACTGGCTACGTCGTCTGCCTCAGATTCCCGCAGTTCCTTGAAACTGATCAAGAAAACTGTACGCACGTCATAGGTGCTCTGATTGGCGAGGGACATTTTTCTCGTCTCCGATTGGCTGCATTCACAGAAGCGAACCGGTGTTGTATGAGCTGTACCATTCTTTCTTAAAAGGGGTGGGTGTGGAACTTTTTTATGGATGTGAGGAAATATATATGGTATTTTGCTTAAAAAATTACACTTTACAACAGAAAATAGTTTTATTATTGATTAAAAAGTATAATATCGGGAGCACTCTATTGTGTTTAACATAAATATCCCTTACTTCTACTTTGTAACACCCAGCGTTTATGATTCGAGGTCTCGCCCAAAAATGGCTGTGGTGAAACAGTTATGAAGATGTGTCGATCTACTCATCTAATTAATGTGGCGCATGCCCCAAATTTACCAAGAGTCCTCTGATCGAGCCGGAGGACATTCCTGGAAGGTGAGGCACAAGATGTTCCGTTATTTCCGTTATTTCGTGCAGAAAAGAGGAGCCCAATGGGCTCACTGTGCAGTCGTGTTACGACTTTTATTTTCAGCCAATAGGAATCACACTGCGATCACAGGCCAGGGCCTTCAAAGATGTGTTTATGCTAAATAAAACACAACACTGAACATAATACTGAATATAAACAAGTCTATAGCACGTAAACGGCAACAAAACGTTCCTAAAAGCATTGCAAAGTTCATGTGAATTCCACAAGGATGTATTCATATTTCTGTGCACAGTGAATACAGTTCCCATGTCATTACCGATTTAAAAGTGACATATTGTATCAATAGAATAGTAGTTGCTTCGCTACATCCATAAATAAGTTGCTTGTTTGCGTTCCGTGTGATTGCAGAGACATTGTGTATCTCTTCAATTGCACTTAGAGATGTTTTCTTTGTTGATTAATTATCTCGTGTCGTGACATACGTTTTATAAAATACTTTTAATCTTAAGTTTGTACGTGGGACTCAAATTTCACAGAATTTCAGTTTCTGCGCTGACTTTGTGATGGTTCACACATTCATGGCTGTCAACAGGTGCTGTCAGTGTTGACATTTTCCTGCATTGTTATAGTACTATTTTTCATGTAAGCATGAAAGTGATAATGGTTTGGAAGAAGTAGAAAATTTCTTACAATAACTGGTTCTTTATAAACTTTGTTGTGGATAAAGCATAATGCCAACATTTGTGTGCTGATGATGTAACTGCATGTTATTGTGATTGTTTGCATTGTGTGTGTTACACCCACTTTTTGCATAGGTTTTAGAAGGTAGAAGTTTTAATATTTGCTTTGGGTGTGTAGGCTATGTTACTACCTAATGCATTATGAGACTTTGGGGAATGTAATATCTTGTTTAAGTGTCTGATTTCCGCAGCAAGCAGTTTGTAAATATCATAGGCCAGCCTGTTAAATGACGTGCTATAATCCTGTTTATCCATATTGTGGTTATTTACATTGCTTTACCTGATATTAATTTGAAAGTAAGGCCTGTTTACACTGCATGCTCAAGTTAATGTGAAACAACAGTCACTGCATCAGCTAGCACACCAACAAATGTTAGAAAGCTGTTTGTGCCTGTCATATATGTAAACTGCATTGAGCCAGATTTTTTTTTTTATATGTAGGCCTTAGCATTTTGCTGAATTATGGGCATCTTATGTTGCTTCATATATTGCATCTATTATCTATTACATATTTTTGTCAGTTCATCATGCTACATATCAAATTAAGACTCAGTTGAAACACAACCCACACCTACACTTCTGATACAGTATCACTGTGCTTGGACAGGCAATGTGAAATTTGATATTGCTATTGATATTGTTGCTGTCGCTGCTTTCACATGGAGTGGGAAACAGGCCTTAATTATCGCGAAACATCAGAGTTGGACAATAATAAGTTAATTTTAGGCTTAAGATTGGAAATTTGTCTTAGGTTTTAAACTGGAACAACCTCTTATTTAGTATGGCAAGGTTTGCTAAATTAAAAGCAGTGTCAGGAAAATTGTCTTGAGAAATTTGTTCAATTCATAAACAGTAGCTGTTTTTGGTGTTGAGAATTGGCACTGGTGATGAATTGAAATGCAAAAGCTTAAAGATTCTATCAGATGTTTTGGAAATCATATGTAACATATAGCCTATATAAGCAAAGCAATTCCATTTTCAAGTGATTATTTTACCTGGCTTAAAGCTTACCGTACATGACTAAAACATTTGACATACTACATGTTTTTGTGCAGTTTTTAGAGTTGTTTACCGGGACTTTTTTTTTTAGAGTTTTAACATATTTGCACAAAGAGGCTTATCTGTTTCTATTTGCTGTGTTACTAAATTAGAGATTTGTAGCAGACGTTCAAAGAACGTGTGTTGAAGCGTGTTTTCGAAAGACACATAATGCAAAAGACGGCAGTTAAATTTTACTCTATTCATCACAAAAAGTTGATGTATGGTTTAAGACTTGGAATATATGCCCGGTCTCTCAGACTAAAATACATGTTTGAGCTGTCTTAACAGAAAGCAACTTGCACTTATGTCGGTGCCATTGTTATGTCTCAAGATGCACACTGGTAATGTTTTTAAGGCATGTTTGCAAAAGCTATTTAAATGGACTAGTTTAACTAATTCCTAGTCCTGGCTTGATCTAAGCCCTCTGTGAAACCAGGCCATAGTGTGTTACTTGTATGGTGTTTTGCATCCTTTCTGGTGCCTGACATCCCAGTATTCACATCAGCTACAGAGTTAAACGTTTAGAAAGGGTTAACGTAAAAAACAGGAGTTGAGAAAAGCCTTTTTCAGCTCAAGTAACATTTTTTCCTCATCAAAATATTTGACTTTAAACTTAAACCTTCTTGAGAGAAATTTAGAGAATCTTCTGCTGGTTATGGTGTAGCTGTTGGCAGTCGAAATTCATTTCTGCGGTGTCACTGAACACATTCTTTCAGAGATTTGCAAAAGGTTATTAAATACTCTGCTGTATGGCCGTGTTGCACGGCAGGGAAGCGCACACACATGCACTCTCCATTTGGAGGATGCTGAGGTTTATTTTGGCAGTTGTCATGACGTTGTGTGGTTTCACATGTGGTGAGAGAGAGAGGGGGAGGGAGACCCTTTTCATATCAGAGATGCTTATTTAACATTTCCGGTCAATCAGAACCATGTCAACATCACTACACACACACACACACATTTATCCCATGCACACAAACCTATAGCTAGCTAGAAAAAGATTGCTATCTTAAACTCTCCTTCAACTTCTTGGTCTGTGACTTTGTAGTGATTACTCGCAGGAGACCATTCACCTATCTGCACGGTGCTCGAGAAAGATGTGTGTGGTCAGAAATACATGGCTTTCCACAATTAGGGATCAAACCTGTGGAGGAAACTGCTCTGTAATTACTGGGATTGTTCTGAGCAGATGCAGAACAAATGTCTTTGTTGTAACAGCGCAGAGCTTCACAGCAAGGTGCGATGTGGGGCCAAAGTAAACACATGAACATGGAGTTGTGCATATTTTATGAGCAATTCATCTCTTTGTTTAAGGGTACCAGGTTTGCTGTGATCAAGATTCCGAATTTCCACCATTATCTGACATATGCAGATTTCAAAGAGGTCATATGCCAATGTCTAGCGAAATCTGCTCATGAAATCATGCTTTCCTGTTTATTTTGCAGGCTATGGAGTCCATACAAATCCACTTTGCCCCCTTTTTGTAAGCTAAATAAAAGCTAAATACTCTTAGTTTACTGATTTTTATAGATAGATAGAATTCTAAGCATGTTGCTATACTGCTCAAAAGTTAATATAGTTTTATTTAGCAAGGATGCATTCAATTGATCAAAAGTGACAGGATTTCAAACGCTTTTGAACTTGCAATTCTTCAAAAAATCCTAAAAAAAGGTATAACAGTTTCCACAAATACATTAAGCAGCACAACTGTTTTCAAGATTGATAATAATAATAAATGTTTTTTGAGCACCAAATTAGCATTTTAGAATAATGTCTGAAGGATGATGTGACACTGAAGAGTGAAGAATGGAGTAATGATGCTGAAAATACAGATTTGGGGTGACAGGAGTTTGTAAATAATGACAGAATTTTCATTTTTTACTGAACTGTCCCCTTAAGTCATACAATTTTCTGCTGCAGAAAGGCATTTATCCTTAGAAATGATTCACGCTGTATTTAAAAGGGGGCCCTGTTGAATTAATCATGTCTGTATGTACTCAAACTAGTGGCACATTTACTTTGAAATAGTACCTCACCAATCATGGCTGGTAGTTGAGTTTATAAGAGTACATTGATTAATAAGCAGGAGTGTCAAGGCTGCAGTTTACATTAATGTTTGTGCAGCAGAGGGGCTCACCTTAGAAAAAAGTCAACACCTTATACAAGAAAACTGCATAAAAGTGTGAATTATGAATGTGGTTGCATTGGACTGAGGGCAGAGTGGCTGTGGTAATGGACTGTGAATGTTTCAGTTGCTGCTGTATTACATCTTGCAGCAGCATGTAGAAAATTTTGAGAAATTCTTTTGTTGTCAGGATGCTAATGAGGTCACTGATTTTAAGGCTCTTTCACAGGAGATTTTGGGTCAGAATCCGTTTGAATTCTGTTTGTTTGGTTTGAACCACACCTGATTCTGTTTGAACCAGCTTTGAGTTTGTGCACATCTGGTCAATTTCCCCAATTCTTCTTTTCAAAACTACTCCGGCTCTTTTGGGTTGCATGGACATCATGAGCTTTTTCAAGCCCACTCATAAATTCCTAGTTGGCTTCGGCTTGAGATCTGGATTTGGCCAATGCAGGATATTAACATTGTTGTTTTTAAGCCATCCATGTGTAGCATTGGCTTTATGCTTTGGGTCATTGTCTTGCCGGAAAACAAATCTTCTTCCAAGTTACAGGTGTCTTGCAGATTCCATCAGGTTTTCCTCCAGGATTTTCTCTGTGTTTTTGCTGCATTTATTTTACCCAGCAAACTCTTTACTCCGGGGCCTGTTGCAGTGAAGCATCCCCACAGCATGATGTTGCCATCACCATGCTTCACAGTGGGGATGGTGTCTTTCCAATTCACTTTCATTTGCAAAGCATGCTCCCGTTCAGTATAGTCTACTATATAGTTTATTGAATTTCTTATAGCTGCTGTCTTTGAGGGAATACTTCAGAGTGAAGGTTTCATTTTAGCATCTCTCATGGTGCATCTGTGGCAGACAAAAGTCATTCTGTGTGATTCTATGAGGATATTATGGGAAAACCACAAAGGGCCAAATAGGCCTACTTAAAGGGATAGTTTACCCCAAAATTTAAATTCTGTCATCATTTACTCAGCCTCAAGCTGTTCTGTATGATTTTTTTTTTCTGCACAAAAGAGTACAATTTTAATTTCTGTAACCAAATGGTTGATGGCCCTCATTGACTAAATTGCACTATGAAAGTCAATGAGGCCCATC